GTTATTTATATACTGTCTTCATTTTTGATTCTCTGAAGGGAATTCTACAGCAGCCATTTGGAACACACATTCATGCTATTTACCCTTAATTTCACCAGCTTTTCTCTTTCAACTGTTCTCAGATCTTGGCTACTGCCCTTGTTTCATATTTTTTTTTCTTCTTAACACTCCATAGGAACTGTGTAGGTTGGTGGACAGTATTAGAATGGATCTTAGAGAGATAGGATGGGATGGTATGGATTGGATAGATCTGGCTCAGGATAGGGACCAGTGGAGGACTCTTGTGAACACGGTAATGAACTTTCACATTTCATAAAATGCTGGGAAATTCTTGAGTAGCTGCAGAATTGGTGGCTCCTCCAGAAGGGCTCAGCTTCATGAGTGAGTGAGTAAGTAAATAAGTACTCCATAGGAACTTCATTCCTGTTATCTGTAATCTGCTTGAATCTCTCTTAGCCTGTGTGTATAGGTCTATGTTGAAACAGGCAAGTAATATGCTTCATATAGCAAAGTTGTGGCCATTTCTGAAATTTATCAATTACAAATGATACCTCTAGCTGCAGACATAATTTTGTGATTTTTTTTTATTTCACAAGATTAACACTAAAGTACTCCAGTCTGCTGTCAAAGGCTTCCCTGATATCTGTGATGACTCCTACTGTAAGATGTATAGTAGAGACTGACTGGTGGACCAACTGAATAATAGCCAAAGAGAATTAAAATTTTTAAACTTACTGAATTTTGATTGCCAGGAAAGTCATGTAACTTGTATGTAAGTGTTAAAGTATATTATAATAGTCATTGTACATATGTAATAAGGTAAAGTTGTCCCTGTGCTCAACTAATTAAGCACTGTGCCATTAAGGCGTACGGGAAAGTGGGTAATATTACATGGTAATTTTATTCTGCAGTATAATTTCAGTAATATGTGCCTGAGAGTTTTGTAGGTAGTTACTGAAACTGTACTGTTTTCTTATTACTGCAAAATATGTATATACACACACATACAGACTTTGTTTCAGGATTTGTTACTCACAGGATACTCTTAATTAAATCTTTTTAATTGTTTCAATCTTTTATTCTGAATAATGATTAAAGACTTTTAGAGAACAAATATTTAGGTATCTTAAATCAATTTTACTAGTCAAATTTGGATGAAAAATTAAATATCTTTATTGACAGCTTTTAGAAATTGTGTTTACTGCATAAAATATAAATGTAAAAATGTATGTACTCTTGTGTAGTACATATTAGGACACTGGTTCATTAGAAAGTAAACTAGTGCATATTATTGCACAACAGAATAACTGCAGGATATGTTTGTGCTTCTCGCATAGTGAACTCTAGAATCTTAAGATTGACCAAAACGGTGCTTCCTTCTTCTGATATGTTTAACTGTGCCAAAAATCTTTCTTTGAAATATAAATGTACATTTTACTTGCACAAATTTATGCAGTTAATATATGTATAGTTTGCAATGGATTGAAGTAAAACTGTACAAACTATATATAGCTGTTGTTTATACTGTCATGCAACATTCTATTCTTAGAGCAGTGTACATACAATTTTATTCTTTTATTATATTTCTTTTGCTTACTGTTTGGGGTGTTTAGTATGTACAAGTTGTTATGATCAAATAAATATATATTAAGTAATATAATGTGTAATAATATTCCAGTAATTGTAATATGTATGATTCAGGAAGGATGGAGGAATGGTACAATATCTGCATTGAAAGTACATCTGTGAGATTGGTTAGTCTAATTGAAATGTGTTTAAATTAGACATGTTGTGTGAGACCATAGCTGTTCAACATCAGCTGTCATGAGTGAGGCATATTTCTATTTCTCCTCAGACCATTCATGCAGCCTCGAATAGAGTACCTCAGTTAGGTCTACTGGTTCCTTCCTGATATTTTCAATTCATTATCCACTGATAGGACTACCATTTAACTCTTCTGGCAGTATCATAAAACAAATGACACACAAACATATTTTAGTTATTAACAGGTATTTTTACTATGGGTTACTGTAAAATGAATGGAATATGACCCAGTTCCCTTGGTGTGGAATCTCTAGGGTATAAAGCTGTTGTCTGTCCTCCATTTACTGCTGAAACTAAGAGTTCATGGAGCTCTACTTCCACTCCCCTATATCTACATGGTCTGGTATTTATTTAACTAAATAATTTCAGAGTGCAAGAAAGGAAATATACTTGTGAATTCATAACTTGGGTTCTGCATTTCTGTGAATATGGATATAGTAAGACAGTGAAAACTTGACAGATATCAATTCTTCATTGCCTTTGTTCCAGTCTATCTCTTTCCCTACCCAGTAGCAGCTGTCACTTTCAAATATCTGCCTCTTTAATGTAAAGTATTTATTTCGTCTCTATAGATCATTGTTACACGATATAAGACAAGTCAGTTACTATACATTGGCTGATTACAATAAGAGAATAAAGTTACAATACTTAAAATTGTTTACAATAGTTAAGATTTCATATAGTGTTGAGGTGGAATCCATATTAGGTCCCCTTGGCACGTCTGCTTCCATATGTCCTATTGTACCTGTACTGGTGATAATGCTTATGGAGAATTTGATGGAATGAGGATTGGCAGGGGAAACCGAAGTACTTGGGGGAAAACCTGCCCCAGCGCCACTTTGTCCATCACAAATCCCACTTGACTAGACCGCAGCGGTGGGAAGCCAGCGACTAACCGCTTAAGCTATGGCGTGGCCTTTGAGACTGCTTTTTTTTTCCAGTTCCTGGTATGCTCTGCATACGTTTGGGTGTTGGTGCCCATGTAAATGTTCATCACATTACATTTTCAGGCTGATACAGTACACACGAATCTTTCAGTGGAGACTTTGTACAGCAGAGGGTACAATGTNGTGCCAGGAGAGTGTCCAAAAATCACTTCTTAAAATGCTGCCATGGCTCGACTTAAATGTCCTGCCATTGGGTTCCCTGTACACCAGCTCCCTGCACCACTTGTTGAGCCTGGTATGCTCTGCATATGTTTGGGTGTTGGTGCCCATGTAAATGTTCATCACATTACATTTTCAGGCTGATACAGTACACACGAATCTTTCAGTGGAGACTTTGTACAGCAGAGGGTACAATGTTCACAAAGTCTTTATAATATTGTGTAACTATACATACAGTGTATACAAGGCCCCTGTCACTGAAGACTATTGATTGGAGGGTTCCGTGTTTCTTTTAAAGATCTTTTGCAATACCTTATAGACATACATATATAAATAAAATATTGTGACATGATGGCTAAAAGGCAGGATTGTGGAAGAGACATCCATTGCTAGGCTCCAGCAACCTAAAAATCCTCTGTAAACATGTCTCCTTGACAATGGATATACACATGCAACAATAGAAGAACTGTTAGAAGCACAGTTTTCTGTGGGGTCATTTTGAGTGGGTCTGCAGGCAGTCAGTATTACCCAGTGGTGGACAGGATGGCAAGGAGTAGTGGCCAGGAGGAGCTATGAAACAGTCACTGGCCAGTAAGGATGTGAAGCCAGAAGCTGAGGAATCTCTGGTGTTGGGGAACCATTGCTGGTGAAGGCACAGCAAACTGATAAGACTCCGTGCATACCATATTGAATTGTAATGAGTGTGCATTAGTGATAGCACTATAATTACCTGTAGGGATGAGTTATACAATAAATCCAGTTACCAATCTAAACCTCATGTGTTGTCATTTAACATCTGACAATGTAAACAAGGCCCATATCGCTGGAGACTTCACTGACCAGAGGACCCTGTGTGTGTATATTTATATTTTTTCTTTTACAGATCCTTTACCAATAGTTGTGTGAATTGGACATCTGTACTGCACTAACTGAACTAAAGTCAAAATTACTTTACGACTGGCAGTTTACCGCCAATCAGTTCGCCTAAATAATACTGAGACCACACTGCAGCTTTGTGATATAAGATGGCACAGAAAAATTATGAATGTGGTTGACCACTAAAAAATATAGTGATAAAATTTGGGTTGTCTGAAGTGAGAGTAGTCTGGTCTGTCCAAAATGTGGGTGCTTGTCTACCAGACTACATGGTATCACATCTGAAAATACAATAACCTTAATATCAACTGCCATCAAAATGTCAAATCACATGTAGGATACAAGGTTCTCATTGCAGTGTTTGTGAAGAGTTGTATTTTCTGGAATATAATGTGGTGTAGTCTGTTGAAAGTCAAAGACGTTTCGGAGGAACATTTTTCGACCATCTTTAGAGCCAAAGAACAGGCCAAACTAAGCTCTGTTTTCCAAGTGCTTCACGCTAGTTTCTTGCTTGGTGTTCTTCGATCCGTGAGATGAAGCTGGCACATTCAACTTAAACGTCAATTGACTTCCAATGAACTACACGGCGTTATATCCTAGGAGACAGAACTCTTCTTAGTACGGATATATTTGTAGGTTCTTCATTCATCTAAAAGATACTACAAACGGCAATAAAACACGATTTTTATTTCACCCTATGGTGATACACGGTATACAATGCCACAGTTTGCTGACCAGTTGCATGAGTTATGCTACAATAATTTAGTAGGGTTCCTGACCTTAAATAGACACTTAGATTCAGGAAAAGTTGTGAGCGGTGATAGGCATCAGAGTAAATCTGAATAGTTTGTGTTAGGAACACTAACTGTAAATCTCAAATATTAACAAGTATAAATAATTGCAGTACTGAAAAAGTATTCTAATTTTAGAAAGATTATAGGCAGATTGATTGCGTAGGCACATCGCTAATTCTTCACTTGGCAAAGCCGTAACTCTTAACTAAACTAATTCCATTATATAGCGTCTTGAAGGTCTTGAAAGCGCCAACACGTGCACAGACGCATAACCGCGTTGGCTTGATTGATGTTTAAACAGCATCAGGTAATTTTGTGACGCAGAGGTATAAGAGGGAACTTTATGAATATGGATATAAAATAGAAGATTGGTAAGCCTGAGAAATCGGTACTGTGGTATCTGCTCAGCTGGACCAATTCGTTGTTACTTATATTAATTTACTTAGTAAGACTAAGCAATTTTATGTATATAACTTATGTATAAGTGAGTATAACAGTTCTAAAATAAGATATGGATTACATTTATTGTCTACGTAATGTTCTTTACATGCATTAGTCATGACCATATATGCACAGTAGTCTAGGTACACAAGAACTTATGTATATGTACACAGCCTTGTTACTGAAATGTGAGAATTGTAACAATAGATCACTGTGGTCGCGGTGCAAGGGCCAAGAAGGCCCACCCCTTATACATTCAAGGGATCGACGTCGATATATGTACTATGACGAATTATGCAATGCAGAAGTTCTATTAAGGAGGGGGTTGGTGTGTCTTGAATGTGCTCTCTCTCTTTACAAGAACTCTTGACATTGCAGTTTCATACATCTTTTTTATTAAATTCCTTTACTGCCTCTGCCACCACCACCACCACCCAACTTCATAGTTGTGGTTTATGGTTGGTTATCCCTGCTGCTGCCAATGCAAATGTCCAATCAGATTTAAATAAACAGGTTGGACTTTGGTGACATTGGTGGGAGTGGGGGATCTGGCCCCCAAGTGAAGGATACCTTTCATTCACCGAGGATCAGGTGGAGTTGTGTTATGGTAAGGAACAAGATAGAAGCAAGTAGTATGCAGACGTCCATTGCATTGTGTGGCCACCGTGGACACATTGTATTTGTTGTGAATGTAGGTTTTTCTTAGACATTAAGTTCTTCAAAAAGTATATATTCTACAGTATACTTCCTATCATCTCTACTCACTTGCACTACATCACAGCAGCAGTAAGTTTCATTATATTTTTCATATTGAATCTGGGTTTTATGTGGCAAGTTTCACATTATGTAAAGGTTTATTATGCTGGATTTCAAATGTTAGAATTAGGTATATCACCAGACCTTGTGGTTTTGCCATTAATATGATACTTGAGTTTTAAGTTGTGGGTTCAAATCCCAGCAAAGACAAGAATGCTAATGTTTTTCTTCAATACTTGTCATCATATTCACTGTCATTGAACTCTGAATTTAAGTGTGTTGCGGTGATATAAGTTCCCGCATAGGGGACAGGTCCATCTTCTCATAGAGGATACGCCATGATGACTAAGAATATAAAGGTAGGCATGATGTGCAGCATATGCCACCAGCCCCAGAAGGAGCTGAACACCAATATGGAGGGACTTGCAAATGTTTCCCTTGCAGACAGGGCATATATGGTTATATAAACCGTAGAGGTTAGTTCCCTCAGTTGTGTAAAATGTGGATATGTGAAGAGAAAGCACTAAAACTATTTTTTTTTTTTTTTGTTAGGAGGTTGTATTTCTCTAGTTTCAATTCATATCAGTATAAATATAATGTCATAAGAATTTTACAGTGATATAAGCATTTTTAGGGGTAGTTTTCTTTGATAGAGGTAGAAGTAAGTAACTAAAAATATCCCTGTAACAGGTTGTGGAGGCTCATAGGGTTGTGTGATGTTGAGGTTCCCACATTTTCTAGACAGTTGGCTCATGGATGGTGGTAAGGTTGTCAGTCTAACATGCTGGCCGCCCTTTATCCCCAAGAACTTCCAAGAATATTCTTGGTACTCATTTCTAACAGAAATGACCCCCGGGCCATAGTGCAGCTGGAAGGATTAGGTAAATTGAAAAAAAATCAATGACCTCATCAGGATTTGATCCTGTGACCTTCCAGCTTGTAGCATAGTGCCTCAACCAACTATGCTACTGCTGCCCCATTTGATAGAGGTTGGTTGGTTTGTTTTCAGTGGCTGCATTTGGGATCATTTAACCCATTTTGCTTCTTGCTTCCCAATAGAGAGCACTCAAGTTCTTGCTTTGTTGCATCTTGAAGAAGTTTGCGCTTTGGTAGAGGTAGCATAAGGCAAATAAGCGTTAAAGCTGTAGCTTTTATGAATTCACAAAAATAAATATTTTTCAATAATACTGTATTGGTCCAAATCCTTGTACCATTCTTAGCCAATTGACTAATATTGCAATCTTGGCTTTCTCTCTCCATTTGAGAAATTTCAATCCTCAGAGAAAGTGTTAACACTAGGCAATTGAATTGTCATCCTAACGCTCTAGCCGCTTTACCCCAGGGGAAAGAGCCCCTGGTACCCATTGTGTATGAGGCTGGGTTGTCCCCAGGGCTGTCCTGGACACTGTGGAGCAGAGAAAGAAGTCTCTTGCCTCTGCCAGGAATCAAACCCTGGCTGTCCAGCCTGTAGCCTGTTGCTATACTGACTGAGCTAGAAGGTAGTACTTTTCAAACAAAAGAGAACAGACAGTATTGCTTCTCTTCTCTAAAGAAGAATGTCTATACTCAGATGTAATAAGGTGGTAGGGGAACTGATGATTTTGAAGTTTTGTGAAGAAAAAAACGCTTAACTTTGTATACAGAATTAACAAAAATTAAAAACCCAAAGTTAATAAAACGTTTTGAGTCTTTACTTTTGGATAATTCTCTGTATAAAGTACAGTGTTTTTTGTCAGAAAACTTAAAAATCTTTATTTTCCCCACCACCTTAACCTCTGAGTATCTTTGTTTCTCTATATAGAAGAGCAGCAATACTGTTCATGGTTGTATTTTCTTTGAATAGTTAGTATCTTTTGAAATGTGGCTCTGTGTAATCCAGTAGAAATTTACTAGTGTTTTTGAGAGGTAGAACTGACTCTGGTAATTATCATTGAATTTCATTGCTGTCAACTTCATACAAAATTTTGTCCAATATCTTTCTCTCAAGGTTAAGTCCATATATACATGAAAAACTACTGATCAGATTTCTTGCATTCGTCAGATACCGGAGAAAAAATTTGAGTGCACTGAGACAGTACATCAGCTATTCTTAGACTTCAAGATTGAGTTAGGAGGGAAGTATTGTTCAATATTTTTTTTGAGCCTCAGTGAAGCAGTTGTACTATGAAAGTCAGATATATTGCCACAGATCTGAAATTGAATATCATGGTCCTTTCCACAGTCTTGCTTCACATTTGGGAGGTCTGTGATTTGAATTGCATTGCAGAATTCATTTTTTCTGATTGGGGGTTTGTGTAATTTTCACCTACCTTAAGGCAAATGCTAGGATAATACCTCAAGTTAGGCTAAAACATCTTCCTTCCACACCCATTCCAATTTTTTATTTATTATTCGTCCATCATTCGACGGTGTATAGTCTGAGCCTGTGACAAATATCATTATATAAACCAAGAGTACAATGAAACATGGCTCCAATCTGCTTAATGTCCTCATCTCAAGGGCTACGTCTGGTTTTTGTCCTTGGTTTTCCCCCACACCTGCTTTATCTCATCTGTATCCCTTATCAACGTTTCAGATGTAGTGGACTTATGCTGTTCCTCATAATGGAAATTTAAATACAAATTCAAAACCTGAACTCATAGTTTTGTGGGTCCTTAGTTATTTCTCTTTATATCAAAAAATTTAGGACTTGTATCTCGTATTTCATGAATGGAATGGAGATATCCGTTTATGTTATCAGTGCTGTAGTAATGGTATTTTCTGCTAGAATGAAACACTGGCTGCAGAAGAAGAAGATCCATAGAAATAAATATAATACTTCTATACTGTTACCATGCTTCTATGTATTAAGGAAATTTGTCACTTCAGAAATGTTATTTTATTTATTATTGGGTTATGTAATGGCAGTTTCAGTTGTTCAGATTATACATTGTCAAAAGAAATGATGATCAGTGAATGATGAATTGGAAAGTATATGGAAGGAAATGGTCATTTTCTAATTTTCATTTCATGCATCCTGTTGTGTTACAATATACAACTCTTTATTGACCATCACAGTGGTCAATAAAGGAAGAGGTCATTGTATAATTTAAAGTACTACACAGTATTTGTTTTAGAGGATTGAGAGAATAGGATTTGAGGTTCTCACAGCAGTGATTAGAGGAATTCTGTCTTCTGGGTTATATTGCTGTGTAGTCCATTGAAAATCAACTTTCAACAGACTATACAGCATTATATCCTAGCAAGAAAACTGTTGAGAAAATCCATCTTTTTTATGGATTATTTTGTGACTCTCTCAGTATCTGAGATGATGTAACACTGAATGGTAGTATGACTGATGATTATGAATTTGGAGGAGAACACTCATGGTCTGTTGTCTTTGCATTTTTTTGGAGAGAGAGTGGAAAAGCATGAAACATTTTGGTCAGGACAACTGGTGTCCTGGCCAGGATTTCAATGAAGCTGCTGCCAAATACAAGTTTACAACATTACCACCACACAAAGCAGCTCAGTTACAAGAAAACCATAATAAACCTTAATAATGGTGGCTGGCCTGTGGTTTAATATTTGAACCCAGGACTTTTAATGTGAGGGAGTGTTAACAGCTTGACAGCAATATTTAGATCACTTCCTAAAAATATATGTATATTTCTGATATTTTGGGTTTGAAAAGGATGGTTACTAATTCATGGCAAAGTGATGAAAAATGTGTAATGTATAATTTAAGGTTCTCATGGTGGTAGTTACAAAAATTGCCATCTTCTTGGATATAACGCCGCGTAGCCTCCTGAGCATCACAATACGATACAATCTCCGTGAGGCTCAACAGCCCTATCCGACTGACACCCCTGCCACCTCTGGTCTGCTGACCATTTGACCCTGCTCTACTTCCTCCCTCACTTGTCTGCTACCCACCTCATGAATACACCTGCTTTCTCATACCAACCCTTGCACATTCCTCCAGCTTCTCTCATAAACCTGTTTCCTGAAACTGGCGCTGCACACTCCTGCCTCCTGCATACACCTGTTTTCTCAAACTGGCCTTTGCACATTCCTACCCAGCTCTTGGTTCCTATTGGCTCACCCACGAAGCCAGGCAAGAGAGAGAGTAGCGAGCCAATGGGAACTGGGCAACACCCATTACCCTTACCCTGTGGTCCCTATATAATTGTATCTGGACTCACAGCTCCTTCTGCCTAGCCACCTGCTGTCACTGGTTTCTTGCTTGGTTCATTTTTGACCCTGAAGATGGAGGTGATACGTTCCTCCAAAACATCAGTTCATATACGAACTACACAGTGACATATCCCAGAAGATGGCAATTTTAAAAAATGTGTAATATTTTCCCTGGATGACCTCCCTTTTTGGTGCACTTATTATAAACAACATTTGACATTTTGTCTGTGTAGTTAAATTTGTGAAATATTCATTGAGGAGGCAGACTTTCCCCCAGCCCTACAGATTGCATTAATATGCATACATTATAATTTGCTTACTTAAAACCAAGACCTCAGCAGCATTGTTGATTTGATCTTTGTTTGTAGCTACACAATTGTAAAAACTACAACTTATTAATTCTGTGAATCTGTTGTCAACAAACAGTAAAATTCTCCATTTACGATGGTCCAACGGAAGCGTAAGTTATCTGATGATGTGGAAGGTGTTGAGGAACCTTGTAAGTGCCCATATGCATCGAGGGATATGCCAGTAAACACTGTCTCCTCAAGTACTAATTGTAATTCTCCAAGTGGTGCTTCAGTTTTACCTACCAAAGGAACAAACTCATGTGATATGTCAGTTTCAAAAGTAAAACATGAAAAAGATGGTGAAGTACACAGTGAAACGGAGGAGACGAAAGATGTAGAAGAAGATGTTGCAGTGGACTTAGATGAAAGTCAAGCACTGAGAGTGTTTGATGTTCTTGATGAAGAAGATTATGATCAAGATTCAGAAAACCAGTCAGAGGAGAGTTTTGACTCTGATGTTCCAGATGAAGAAATTGAGGCTATGTTAGAAGAAGGTATGAAATATATTAAGTTGTGTAATTTAGGTAACAGATTTAGTAATTTTTTTTGCCGTTGTATATAATCTGCTATCCCATTTTCTGTTCCAAAGTTTCATGATAATTACTTTCCTTATTCATTTTGTATTCATTCTTCTTAAAGCACGTGCTTTAAACAGTGAAGTCTTCATAGGTGATTAACCATATCAAAGTGGAGTTTAACAGAGGTAGACGTTCATGTCTGGCCTTGAACATGATAAAACAGATTAGAGCAATTTAAAAACATAAGGAAGGACCAGTGGAAAACAACATGAATTCTTATGACTGAGTGACTGATCCTGCCAATAGGCTGTACATAGCCCATACTGGGATACGATATCACTGACTATTTGCAACTGTGTCCAGTGTCATGGCAATAGGCCATACATAGCCCATACTGGGATAGGACATCGCTGACTATCTGCAACTGAGTCCAGTGTCATGCCAGTAGGCCGTACATAGTCCCTACTGGGATAGGACATCACTGACTATCTGCAGCTGAGTCCAGTGTCATGCCAATAGGCTGTACATAGTCCCTACTGGGATAGGACATCACTGACTCTCTGCAACTGAGTCCAATGTCCCCCACATGGTCCAGACAGTAGCATGCATTCAAGATGATGGATATAGGAACAACCTCTGCAGTGTAAGATTTGAGGCTTTCACGGCGGTGACTATGAAGAAAGNGCCCAAGTAGACTTCATTGCTCACTGTCAGTGTGAAAGCTTCAAGTCATTTGTATATACACATACACACACACACACACACACGCATGCACGCACAGATCACCCCCTCTACTTCAGACTAATTGGGAGTGAACTCTTGTCCAAATTATAGAAGTGGTACTGAAAATATATTCATGGAAGTTATAAAATGGGCTTCACATGTCTTTTAGGCAATACAGCCTCATTTTGAAACTTAGATTGCATATCATAAAATAAATTGCTTAGTATTAGTTAATATTATTACTTAGTAGTATCCCAGATCTAGAATGCTTTGACTTTAAATCTCTTTAAAAAGGCCTTGATGTTTGATGTGAGGCTTGCATGTAACTACTGTCATCTATGCTAGCATTACACCTGGCGGTTTGTGTACTGATCATGGCAATATGATCCTCAAGGTTGTAATGCAAAAAACAACCCAAAAAAACAGAAGTACATAAAAACAGTTGCCCAAATTAGTGAAGTCTGATAGTAAATGATATAAATATTTTTATATGGCCTGCCAGATACCGGTGTCATCTGATGAACAGGCAGTAGTCACTGTGTACAGTATATTTGCTAGTAGGTAGCTACTGTTTAGATCCAACATTTATTAAAATTTGGTATTAGGACTGACACCATGTTGAGGCATCTTCCTTGAGCACATGACATTTATTCATCTGATCATGAAATTCCTTGAATTTATGTAATCTGAAGGCTCATCATCATCATCATCATCATATCACAATTGACTCAATTCTGAACCAGTTTATTACTTGTCACTTCTTCACAACATGTTTTTTAAGTTATTATAGTCTTGTTGTAGTCACGTTCTATTATGTTTAGTGACTGTGTTGTCTGTGTTTTATATTATGTTATTTTGACTTGTTCCAGTGCTTAATTGGAACATTTGTTTTGATTTTTGACACATTCTACATCCAGTGGTGTGTGAACTTGTTTCTCGCCCTGTAATTGGATCTACTTGAATATAAGAATAAAGTAAATTAAGATCCAGTTTAATATTCCCTTCCATCTGCAGCTCATTAATTTCCAAAGGCTTGTGGCAGTAGTTGGTTTGTTAAAGAAATATTATATTATACATTACTGGGGTAGGCGGTATCATAGTTGGTTCAGGCACTATGTTACAAGCTGGCAGGTCATGGGTTTCAGCCCCAATGAGGTCATTGGATTTTTCAGTTGACCTAATCCTTCCAGCCGCACAATGGGCCCTGGGGTCGACTCATTCGCTAACAGAAATGAGTACCAGTAATCTTCCTGGAAGTAAAGGACACCTGGTGCGTGAGGTTGACAACCTCACCGCTATCTGTGAGGCAATTGTCCAGAAAATGTGGGAGCCTTGACATTTCACAATCCTATAGGCCTTCACGGATTGTTACAGGGATAGCAATAATTGTACATTATCCACTGTCTCAGATGCATCTGATGTACTAAGGGCGTTCTGTATATAATGCCTCCTATTTTTTTTAAAGAAAACTACAACAGATACAGAACTCATAATAACACAGTTAAATAGAGCAAGATTTCAGCTACTTACAGCTATTTTTCCACATAATCACCACCATTCGTTATGCACTTTTGCCAACGATGAACAAGAGCCTGTATGCCACGCCTGTAAAAGTCTGCACCAGCAGAGGCTAGCCACTTTCTTACAGCTGCAATGACAGCATCGTTGTCTGGAAAATGTTGCCCACGTAGTCCATCTTGTATAGGCCCAAAGAGATGGAAGTCTGAAGGTGCTAAATCGGGGCTATAAGGTGGATGTGGTAGGACAGTCCAGCCAAACTTTGCAATGTGCGCGGTGGTCGCCAAACTGGTATGGGGTCTAGCGTTATCATGTTGCAAGCAAAAGGTTGTCTGCTTCTCTTGCCTGACTCGGGAAATACGGGCTTTCAGCTTAGTCAGCGTCGTCTTGTAGCATTCAGAATTGCCAGTCCCTGGTCATTATCTGCTGATCTGTTCAGATGAGGCGCTGTTTATTGTGAGGAGTGGCAGCTGAGCAGGGACGCCCATGGCATGGCTTGTCATGCACTTCACTTTCGCCACTGTTGAAACGCACTACCCACCAAATCGCTGTGCTGACATCCGCTGTATTGCCTCCATACACCTTTAGCAAGTGTCGATGGATGTAAATGGGTACAATTTGTTCGGCAGTGAGAAATTCAATAACACGTTTCTCTTTCATACGCACTTCTATGTCAGACGCCATTTTGGTAGACTGCTCTGCTGTCTCTATCAGTCGCACAACAACCAAATTAACAGTACATTGGCAGGAAGGTTTAACCTTTACTACAACACCACCAACATCCAGCTCAGACGTTACATATTAACACAAAAAATAGTAGGCATTATATATATGGAACGCACCACATACATGCATGATGTTTCAAGAGTTTCTCTTCTCCCATCTTAAGGTGACTGTTGTTATACTGACAAATTTTTAAGATTGATAATGTGGGAACCTCAATATCTTACAACCCTATGGGCCTGCATGGCCTATTACAGGAATATCTTTACTTTACTTTTTAGCAATTAGATAGGATCAACCCTGGGACTTGTTGAGTACTAGACTAGTATCAGGCAGTCTAGTTTAGCGGCTAGTTATTTGTCTAGTATTGAAAAGTGTTGTGATCAATCTCAACTGTTACCACTGATCTTAATATACGTAAATAAAACAGTGTCTTAAAACAGTGACCACAAATCACCTGACTATCAGAATAGATCCCATCATCAGAATATTGTGTACACCTGATGCATCCCAGACTATGTACAATGCTCAACATAATACAGTGAAACCATCATTTACAGTTTCTTTGCAGAGCAATGCATTTTAACACTAAAATGTAGTAAAGGAATAAATGATATAACCTCCGTCTCAAGTGCAAACAATATATTCTTGTGTCTTTGATCTTGCTCTCTACACTACATGTTTCGGCCTCAGACGGCCATCATCAGGTGTATAACACTCGCGTCGCTGTCACACTGCACCCAGTTCAAAATTTAACATCTAAAACACTCTCCCTGTCATTATCAACTTCTACTTCGTTGATAGCTGTCCACCCGTAGATTACTTCACACACGTTAATTTTGTGTTTGTTGTAATAGCACCATAATAAAATCTTTAGTTCTAATTTTAAACTTTTAAATTCTTGTCCAAATTTTAAAA